ATTTTTAAATATAGATTAAAATTTTATTTTTTAACAATTGGGATTGATATATATTAAATTTTATTTTTTTTATTATTTATTTAATTTTTTTGTAATTTAAATATAATAATTTTTAATAAATAAAATATTTATAAATAACGAAATGTATCTATCACAATACTCACCCCTTTTATTAATTAATTAAAATTAATTCTCTGATAACTATGGGAAGGAAGAATTTGGATTGGGCTGGGCCTGATAGAAACCAGACCGAAAACACATGAAGCTTCTGGCTCAAAAATCACTACTGAATCCATTAACGACCATCGAGAAACATTTTCAGGGATGCTGACAGTTTTCGACTGCTGTAAAGTCGCCTTTATCAACTTTCGGGTCCTCTCTGGCAGACTCAAAGTCGTGTAGCTCTCAAACAGTGAAAGCGATTGCCCTGTTGAAGTGGGGCAGATTAGCTTCTCCAAAACACTTCAGAAAATCAGGAAACTGCCAAATTTTCTCTGGGGATTTAAGATTTACAATTACTTGTTATACAAAGTTTATCTGATTCCATGATGTCATCTCTAGCTATTGTTTGGAATCCACTGCTCATCCTCCTAACTAGTTTCTTCCTTCTTGCAGCAGCTCAAGAGGGTTCCCGCAATGTCAACGTTGGCGATGTTCTCCATGCCGACGATCGAACACTTACATGGAAATCACCATCTGATGATTTTGAACTTGGGTTTCACCGTGCTCCAGACCAACAAGATCGATTCCTCCTTGCTATCTGGTTCGCCAACATACCTGAAAAAACCATAGTTTGGTCTGCAAATGGAGAGAACCCTGTAGAGATAGAATCCAGAGTTGAGCTTACCTCCAATGGTCTAGTGCTCATAGCTCCTTCTGGCATGGAGTTTTGGTGGTCTAACATCTGCAATGTTGAAGTAAAACTGGAAAGGTATCCCTGTATACACATCTATTTGATTGAGGACTAGAGATTCGGAGGTGAAACGGAGTTGAAATTTCCCCTTCTTGTTGCTTGTTGAGGAGAAGGCTGATGAAAGAGTGCTGTTTAGGCCTAGTTCTTGTCCTGGCAAGATTGTGTCTGTTGGATTTTGGGAGCTCTCCCACCTGTTTTCTGAATTCCTTCCTGTGATGACAATTAAGGTTTCCGGTTTCCAGCATGGCTGCATGGGATACCCCTCCAGTGCCATCTTGGGTGCTGTTAGACCACCAAAGCTCCATGCCAGAAGTAGCTCTGAGCACTAGGCCATTGGAGGTAAGCTCAACTCTGGATTCTATCTCTAAAGGGTTGTCTCCATTTGCAGACCAAACTATGGTTTTTTCGGTTATGTTGGCGAATCGGATAGCAAGGAGGAATTGATCTTGTTGATCTGAAACACGGCGAAACCCAAGCTCAAAATCACCGGATGGTGATTGCCATGTAAGTTGTCGATCATCGGCATGGAGAACATCGCCCACGCTGACATTGCGAGGACCCTGTTGAGATGCTGCCAGAACGAAGAAACTAGTTAGGAAGATGAGTAATGGATTCCGAAAAAGGGCTAAAGATGAAATCATGGCATGGCATTGTATTATGGGGCATTTGCTTCTTCAGATGAACTTTGTGGGAAAAGCAATTTATAAGCTGAAGTTCCAGTTCAACACGGTACGTAATTGCTTTGACTGCTAACATTCATGCATGACATGATGACAAGATTATTTTTCTAAAGCCCATAGCAGTCATCGTTCAGTGAAGGTGGAAAACCCAAAGAAGGTACATGGCATCTTCGAAATGTCCCGATCTACCAAGAAATTAAAATATATATATGTAATATTATAGTTACAATATATTATATATAAAAATAAATTTATAATTCTGACATAATATTAAATAAGTGAGTTATATTATTAAATAAATATATATAATATTATAAATAAATTTTTAAATAAAAATAATTAATTATATAATATATTATATTAAAATTATAATACCATATAATGAAACCGTTGGACTCGAAGGTGGAGGACAAGGATCCTACCATCAACATGGTCATATACCCACTGCTTCTGAAGACAGAAATCATCAACTCCTTCCAAATAATATAATTGTCAAGGTTAAGGTTTCTGGGACAATAGTTTTAACATTGGAAACAGTGAACCCGGGATGGGTAAAAAAAGAGGAAGATTGTGAAGTCTGATAAGTAGGTGGAAGACTTGGAGTAGACAAAGTATTGAAATGGGGAAAAAACGAAAGAGTGGGTAGATTTAGTGTGGTAGTTGGGAGAGCATTGAAAATAGGAGTTGGGGTAGAAGATTTTAAATCAGACAAAGAAGAAGTTTTCGAATCTGAACAAGCCATAACTAGAGATTGGCAAGACCTAGAGAACAAGATAAACAAGACAAAAAGAGAACAAATTGGAAAAGAGACTTGGTCGGCTCTGATATCACGAAACCATGAGTAATGCTTCTCATTCAAATAAAGAATTAAAATTGTATATTTATAAGTAGGAAAATAATGTATGCACACCCAAATTTAACATTCAGGTGTGCACACTCTACATAAAAAAAATAAAAAACACCTAATTTATTTTTTTTATGAAGAGTGTACACACTTAAATTTTGAATCTAGATGTGTATCAATCATGATCCCTATAAGTATATACAACATCAAACTACAAAAATTACATAAATATCTTCAAATATAATATATTGTCATATAATATTATAATTATATTACTTTTGAAAAAAAAAAAATTTTTCATTCTTGGGCCGTTTACTCAATCGACTTTTCAGAATTCACCGTCGCGGGCTTCGTCCATGGCTAAATCAAAGACATTATCTCTGGTCTTGTCAAAGACGTTATCTTAACGTCAATCTCCGGTCTTGTCTCATACTACATCCAATCAAAAAGGCTTTTCAAAGGTCAGTTAATTGAAGGCGAGAAAAGTGGTTCTATTTCATGTGTTCTTGGATCTTATGGAGCTGGGCTCGTGGATTCATTAGTGATTTTTGAGGTATAAACTTCATGTATTTTTTGAGATGGTTTCTCCCTAGTCCAATCAAACCCAAATTCCTTCCTATCAGTATCACAGGATTCCAAATGCAAGGTGAGACGAGAGCATGGTTGCATTGTCTTGTTTCAGTCACAGTTTCTGGACTTCAATAGTTCAGAAACTAAAGGTAGGTCATATAAATTTGTAACTTTAATTTTTACCGTTACATTTTTAAATTTGAGAAAATTTATTAATCATTTGAATATTGTGCCAACTAACATGCTCTGGATCCCTTGTTTTCTGCGTACAATTAAGCAAAAGGGAGTTGAATTTTCCTTGCTCTGATACTCCTGCCCTTGCCCGTTTTCAGAATCCATTTGCCTTCTTCATTCCGTAGCTGTGGTCTTCTAGTGACACCAATAAGGATGGCAACGGGGGTCATGGGACCGTCGATACCGTCGGAATTTTTTACGAAAAGTTGGATTTGCCTCTCAGCCCCATTACCCGCAGGGACCCATTTCCAGTGGGGATTCTCCACCCCCACCAATTTATATTATAAAATTAATTTAAATTATTTTTATTTTATTATCTTAAAATAAAATATTTTAAATAGTTAGGTTAAAGTAAAAAAATGTAGATCTAGTTTGGTTTAAAATAATTGGACTTTAATATTAAATTAAAATTAAAATTAAGTAATTGGTATGCCTATGACTATAAATTAATATTGAAATTGTGCTAGATTTAATAATTTTTTCTTTATTTTTTCAATATTTCACAGAGAATAAGACCTTTGCGGGGATCCATGAGGGGAAAAAATTAATATATTAATACGTAAAATTTTGGGATCACCAATTTGTTGTGCTGCAGAGAAGTGGAGTTATGGCTGCTGTGAGTGCCCTCCCTCCCAACCCACCCCCTTCGATAGAAGAAAGTGACTCTTTGGAGCGTAGCACCAAGAGAGTGAAGGACGATATCCCCCATTCCCCCCTCCCTATATCAAATGTTGACTCCATTGCCCCGGAGGTTGCCCCCCCAACCCAGAAAAATTTTAAAGATACGTTGATCGATGGGTGTTCAGAACACACCCCCCCTGTCGTCACGTTGGATGAACTCATGGCTGTAGGATGCAAGGTTTCAACGCAAACTCCGATGGTTGCGGATGATGTTTCTGGAACCCCCAAAAAACCTATCCCCAAGGCGTTTATCCTAAAGGAGATATGGCAAAAGTTCTGTGTTCCTTGGAAGAATTCCTTGATCATTAAATTATTGGGGAAACGGATTAATTATCATATGCTATGTGCTCGGCTATCTAGTGAATGGAGAACAAAAGGAGAGTTTGAGGTTATTGACATTGGTAATGGCTATTATGTTTCCAAATTTTCTTCTTCGGAGGATTGTTCCCGAATACTCATAGGAGGTCCTTACAAATTCTTTGATCATTATCTGGTAATTCAACCTTGGGAACCCAATTTTCAACCCTCCAGAGCAAAGCTACCGAAAACTGCAGTTTGGGTTCACTTATTTGGAGTACCAATCGAATGTTTTAATGAGCCAGCGGTTCTGTATCTGGGCAATAAAATTGGTAAAGCTATTAAGGTTGATAGAACAACCCTTTTAGCACAAGGGATGAGTTTGCTCAAGTTTGCGTGGAAGTGGATTTGAATGAGTCATTACCGTCTATGATTGACCTAGATCTAGAGGGGCTTCCCCAATCGTTAATTCTTATTGAATATGAAGGGCTTCACAAGATATGCTTTGAGTGTGGTGAGTTCGACCATAAGAAGGAGAGCTGTCATTACAAGTCTCCACAACCGCTGTGGTAGCCATAGGCTCCACCAAATGGAGCAGCAACTATCCAGGCTAACCCTACTACGAAATCTTCGGAAAAGAATAGGGATGTTCCAGATTTAGGGGATAACTTTATGGCATACGGATCTTGGATGGTGGCTAAGCGTAAGCCACGAAAGGTGGCTAAAAAGCAGGAACTTTCTGTTAATGGTGCTTCTTCCACTCCCAATGGATCGCGTCGTGATAATGATGGGAAGGTTTTTCAATCAAGTAATAAGTCTAAGCCGGTTAATCGGGAATTGGGTGTTGCTAGTAACAGATTTGCAATAATTGCTGAAGTGGAGGAATCTTCGGGTGTGATCCCTAATTTGAAGGAGGCTGATTCTGGTAGTGTTCCTGCTCAAAGAGATAATGAACCTGGATAGTCTAATATGGATATAGCCCGCAGTTCTAATACTAAAGACTAGGTAGTGGTTGCTAAAGTGGTTGATAATACCAAGGCCCAAAATAAATCAGGCCGAAAGAAGGACAAGACCAAAAAGGTTTTGGGCCCAGTGGTCAAGCCTTCCAAGCCCTCTAGGTCTAAGTCTTTAGACTCGGCCTTGATACGAAAGTCCATCAGTGATAAGCCAAAACAACTATTGTGTGTTGCTGCATCCCCTCCAATTTCCCTTCCTTATCCTATTGAAAGTTGTTCTCGTCAAAGTTCTAGGGGTCTCAATGGTAGCATGAATCTATCTAAAATGGATGCAGTTCCATCCCTCCCTCCCAGTGAAGCAGAGCATGTCCTAGGGAACTTAGGAGTGCAACAGCTTGGCGTGTTGCAGGCTCCGTCGCTAGAAGAGCCTATCTCAGTTATGGCTTTAAATCATGGTGCCAATCCTTCAATGATTCTGGCATTGAATCCCACTCTTCAAAACCCCCTTTCCTCATGAGAGTGATTTCTTGGAACAATCGTGGAGTTCAGTATCCTCACTTTAGACGAGAAGTGCAGGAGTTACTCCATACTCATAAGCCAAATATTATCTGTTTTATGGAAACTAAAGCAGAATTTGGTTCGAATGCGTTAATTTTTATGCGTCGGCATGGTTATGATTTCCATTTTCAAGTTCCAACCTCGGGTTTTGCAGGAGGGCTTTGGTTGTTCTGGAAAGGATCAACTCAACTTTCTATTATTTTTTCTACAAACCAAGCCATCCATTGTTTGGTCAGTTTTCATGAGTGCCGCTTGTTTTTGACTTTTGGATATGTTCGGCCACAGGAATCATACAAGGAAGCTTTTTGGGGACATTTGCAGGATTAGAAAGAGAATCATTCTGGAGCTTGGGTCCTCATTGGTGATCTTAATGATGTGGCTTCCATGGATGAAATTTCTCCACGAACTACAACCGTTTATCGTCGAGCTCAACGTTTTCAAAGTCACTTGGAACGTTGTGGCTTAGCAGATATGGCGGTGCTTGGTTGTAAATATACTTAGTGTAGAATGAGAAATGGAAGAGTTGTCTTGAGGGAGAGATTAGATCGCATTCTACTTAATTTAGATGCTCAACTTCAGTTACCAGGTGCTAAAGCTTTTAATTTACCGAGAACATGTAGTGATCATCATCCTATTCTTCTTAATATGGATACGGCAGCAACATATTCTCCTATTAGTAAGCCGGCACGTTTCAAGGTGGCATGGCTAACTAGAGAGGAATTTAGTAAAGTGTTTACTGATGCTTGGTCCTGCCATTCAAATCATCTCCCCACAGCAATCAGTAAAACAAGTGAGACTTGCATTTCGTGGGGAAAATCTGCGTTTGGGAACATATTCAAGAGAAAACACTTGTTGAAAGCTAGAATTTCTGGCCTTCAGAACTCCCCGCGTTATCATTTCACTCCTTGGATGCAAGGGCTAGAGAAGGATTTGCTGGAGGATTATCAAAAAGTCTTATATGAAGAAGAACTGTTATGGTTCCAAAAATCTAGAACTGATTGGATTGCTTCTGGGGATCGAAATACATCATTTTATCACATGTCAACTATAGTTAGACGTGCTAAAAATAAGATAGGGGCCTTGAAGATTGATGGTGAATGGAGTATGGATGCAGTAGAGCTGAAATCACATGTTAGGAACTTTTTTGAAGGGCTTTTTGCATATAAGGAGACTATTCCCCTACCAGAGGATCTGTTGCTTTATCAGCCTGTTATTTCAGATGTTGATCATGAATCTCCTCTTCAACTAGCCAATCTTGAGGAGGTTCAAAGGGCTTTATTCTCAATGAAGGGTTTGAAGAGTCCTGGGCCTGATGGGATACCTACTTTGTTTTATCAAAGACATTGGGATGTAATTGCTGGGACCTTCCTAAAGTTTGTGAACCAAGCTTTGTCAAGTGGGGTTTTTGACTCAAGTTTGACCAAAGCCTACATAGCACTGATTCCTAAAGAAGACTCTCCGGACACTATACAGAAATTTAGACCTATTGGTTTACTGAATGTAGCATATAAGGTGCTGTCTAAACTCATTGTGAATAGACTTTGTCCACTTCTTCAAGGGATCATTGGCCCATGGCAGAGTAGTTTCTTGGCTGGGATGAGCACTGTTGATAATATAATACTGACTCAAGAAGCGGTTCATTCTATGAAGCATCTTAAAGGGGGTCGTGGTGCTATGGTACTTAAAATTGATCTGCATAAAGCTTTTGACAGTATTAACTGGGATTTCCTTCGCCAGGTTTTGTTGTATTTTAATGTTCCACATCAGTTGGTCAACCTCATTATGTTCTCAGTGACTTTTGTTCAACTTAGTGTTTTATGGAATGGGGAACCATTGCCTTACTTTAGTCCACAAAGGGGTTTGCGTCAGAGAGACCCCCTTTCTCCATACTTGTTTATCCTAGTAATGGAGAACTTGGCTCAGATGATTCAGAAAAGAGTGGCTACTAAGGTTTGGAAGCCTTTTACGTTGTCTCAAGGAGGCGTCTCTTTGTCCCACTTATTCTATGCAGATGATCTTATGCTTTTTGCGCATGCCTCTGGAGCACAATTGGATGTCATTATGGATTGTTTGGATCAGTTTGCCAAGAGCTCAGGGCTGGTATTCAATTTACAGAAGTCTAAACTGTTCTTGTCTCCAAATGTTCACTCGGCTGTGGCAAATGCTCTGAGTGCCAAGTGAAGTATCCCGTTAACAGCAAATTTGGGTACCTACCTGGGGATTCCAATCACTCATGGGAGGCATTCTCATAAAAATTATAGATACATTTTAGAAAAAATGCAGAAGAGATTAGCTGGGTGGCAGGGGACTAATTTGAGCTTAGCTAGAAGAAAGGTTTTGGTTCAGGCTATTACATCTTCTATTCCGGCGTATGCAATGCAATCAATCCTATTATCGAAAGCTACGTGTGATGCTATTGATCGGTTGAATAGGAATTTTCTCTGAAGCTTTGTTGCTGGTGTTAAGAAACCTCATCTGGTCAGTTGGGATGTGGTTTGTATAGAGAAACGACATGGTGGACTTGGGTTGCGATCCGCTTGTGACAACAACCAAGCTTTTATTGCTAAGCTTGGTTGGCGCCTAATCAATGGGGATAATGCACTGTGGTGTAAGGCTATGCAGTCAAAATATTTGCGTGGTACCAAACCCTTGGAAGCTAAGCATACCCTTGGGTCCTCTTTTGTGTGGCGTGGGATTTTGCAATGCTGTCCTGTATTACAACAGGGGGTGCATTAGAGGATAGGTTTTGGAGAAAGAGTGCGTTTTTGGCACGATGCTGGGGTGGGACATGCTCCGCTTATTTCTTCCATGGAGGAACCGCCTGGCCTTCCTTCCTTGTTGGTGGCTAATGTTATTAAATCAGATAGGGAATGGGATCTTGATATCTTGCATAATTTGGTTTTGAAGGAAATAGTGGAGATTATACGAGCAATCCCTCTGTCTCGCAGTACACATTTGGAAGATAATATTTTTTGGTCAGGGACTACGGATGGCTCCTTCACTGTTAAGTCAGCTTACCAAATTACACAGGCTCCTCGTATTCCAGCTCAATTGGATGGTTCGTGGCACTGGATATGGAAGTTACAGTGCGCAGAGAGAATTCGAATCTTTGTATGGCTATTGGTTCGAGGGAGACTATTAACAAACTCAGTGAGATTTGCACGTCATATGGCTTCTTCACCCACCTGCCCAAGGTGTGAGTCTTCAGATGAGACAGTTATTCATCTATTAAGGGATTGTTATTATGCGACCATGGTTTGGGGTTTACTGGGGTTTGCAAGCTTTGAGTTCTTTGCTTTGGACCAATCACTTTGGCTAAGGAAATTCTCAACCTCATCACCGTTACATGATCCAACAAGCGTCTCAGGTACGACACTATTTCTTTCTGCCATCTGGCTTCTCTAGAAGGATAGAAATGCTTTGGTCTTTCAAAATCATCGCACCAAGCCACATGAGCTATGTTCACTGGTGTTTCAACAGGCAAAATATACGGAGCTTGCCATGCATCCTCTGTTTCCAGTAAGGTCTCGGCAGCCTCGTTGGGTGAGTTGGACACCACCCGTTGAGGGATGGCATAAATTGAATACTGATGGGTCATGTTCCCTTGCTAAAAACTCTACTAGTGCAGGAGGGTTGATTCAGGATTCCGCTAGGAACTGGGTTTCTGGTTTTATAGTTAATGTGGGCCATGCTTCCATTTTTGTTGCAGAACTTTGGGGTTTGAGGGAAGGGCTCAAGCTTTGCAAATCTCTTGGTATACCGAGGGTTGCAGTAGAAATGGATTCCCAAATGGCTGTTCGCTTCATCAATGAAGATCGGGAGGTAGATAATTTATCTGCGGCTATCTTGGTGGATATTAAAAGTTTGATGTTGGAGTTTGAAGCTTGTACAGTGCATCACATCCTAAGGGAAGCGAATGCCGCAGCAGATCACTTGGCTTCCCTTGGTCATTCGTCACAACCGGGTTTAAGTATACTCAATTCCCCACCATGTGGTTTACTGCCTATCCTCTTAGGTGATCAATTGGGGGCTTGTTTCCTCCGTTCGTAGTTTCTTTTTTGTGTTAATCTAGTTTTCATTGCTGATGTACCAAAAAAAAAAAATGAGGGGAAAAAATTTCCCACAAAATTTCACAAAGAAAAAATACTTTTCATCCTCAACCTACCCTTGTGGCAAGAGTTCTTGCAAAAATCAAGAGAAATTGCCGTCCTTAGACACCAAGTAGGTTGAAAACAACGTTCTATACCATGCTGCAAAGGGACACAAAACAAATACAAATAGGGCTCCTCCCCATATACCCGTTTTAGGTCTTTGCATTGGAATTTTTTGTAATTAACTACAGTAAATACACTTTGTAGCTTCGCAATTTCTACAAATGATAATAATATAAATTCTCTATCCACAAACTTGTGAAAACATATGCTAAAAGCTCTAATAGAGTGGCTTTGACAACTTGCGTTTTGGTCCAAACTCCCCGTTACGAACTTTCTTTGGCAGCATTGGTGAAGTATCGGCACTTCATCTTAAGGTGTCAACCCATTAGGCAATTTTCAGTTTTTCACTTTTTAGTAACTCCGCATTGAATTTTTATTATTTTAGTTTGCATTCTATTGTCTATTTCAATTACGTTTTCGATTTTCTTATAAAATACTCATTCAAGATTAGTATTGAAAAATGTTTTTGGCAACCTTTTTGGGTACTATTTGAAAAGGTTTTTGGCGATCTTTTTGACACTTTTGAAAACTGAATTAAAAATTATAAGAATTTATCAATAATAAAAAATTAAAGAAATTAACATCCTTAAATTAAGTTTTGTTTTTTCTTGAATTTATTGTTTGTTTTAATATGAATTCTTGATTTATAAATATGATTTTAGATTTTAATATGTTTATTATGAACTAATTTAGTCATTTAGTGCTACAATTCATAATTAATTAATTTAATATGTTTATTATTGAATTTAATGCTATTGTTGAACTTAATACTTTAAAAACTTAATTTAAAAGCTTAATCATATACTAATAAATTACATGATTTATGTATGAACTTAAGATGTATGAATTAAAGCAATAACAATATAAACTATGTGTTACACTATAAGATTAAGAGATAATTACTATCTCGTAGGAGCTGGGGTTTTGGTTTTTTTCTCTATTGTATTTCATTCATCACAGATTTGTACTGTAGGGATTACAAATCAAAGGCAATCTAGTGCCAACGGTAGAACATTGAGTGTTATTTGTCCTAACAACTCCACCAGACATTGACGATATACAAAATATCTAAGAACATGGTTCCTTGATTCAAGGAACTGTACTAATAAAACATTTTAAAAAAAAAAAAAAAAAAACTATACTAACAAAAAATACAGCCAAACACTAACATAGAGTTATATTGAAAATGCCATTCTATCTTTAAGCATTAACAGTTTCGCTGAGCAAGAGCATGAAAAGCTGAAAAAGCCAGAAGTGCTACCTTTATTTGGAAGTCACATGTAGGTATATATTGATAAAAGAACTACCTTTATTATTTATAATTTTCATTCACGGAAACTTGGGGTTTATGTTGGATGAATCCTGAGGCTTGAAACTATATAGGAAAGGACATGGAGGAGCAGGGACCAGGAGAGCACCTTCAAGCATCATGGTAACTGTTCTCATTTTAGGCCTTTGTGATGGTTCATCCTGCACACACCACATTGCCACCTTCACCAGCATCTCCACCCTCCCCATATCATTTCTTGCTTCTTCATCATTTTGCACCAACTTCCCCAGATTCCCTTCGCTGTAGCAGTCGTATGCCCATTCTGTCAGGATTGCTGCCTCCTCCATCTCAGACTCAACACATCTTCTACAACAAATGATCTCCAGCAACATAACTCCGAAGCTATACACATCTACCTTCACTGTGACAGGGGTGCTCCTAAACCACTCTGGCGCCACATACCCCTTAGTCCCCCTGATGCCTGTCAGGGTGTGGCTCTTGTTGTTAATCAAAAGTTTTGCCAATCCAAAATCTGAGATTTTTGCTCTGAAAGTGTCATCCAGAAGAATGTTCTGAGGCTTTATGTCGCAGTGAATGATTTGGGTGATGCATTCTTCATGCAAATATGTAAGTCCTCTTGCAATTCCTGATGCAATCTGCAATCTCTGTTGCCAACTAGGCTTTAGAACTCCGAACAAGAAGCTCGCCAGAGATCCGTTCTGCATCAACTCATACACAAGAAGCCGGTGCTCAGCCTCATCACAGTATCCAAGCAATCTAACCAGATTCCGGTGATGAGTTTGTCCAATCACATTCACTTCTGTCTTGAACTCTTTCTCTCCTTCCTGAACAACCTTGTCTAGTTTCTTCACAGCAACAAAATTCCTGGAGAATTCTCCTTTATAAACAGTTCCAAAAGAACCCTTTCCCAATTCTTCCTTGAATCCTTTTGTGGCATCTTCGAGTTCTTTGAATGTGAAGGAACGCAGATTTGTCTCAATCTCTCCATTGCGGCTGATCCTGTTCAGATCCTGAAGCTTTCTTTGGTAGAAATAGAAAAGAAGCAAGGAAACCACAATCAAAGTAAAGATGTTGAAAAAAGCTGATGTGCCTAAGAGGGCTGAGAGAATGAGAATGATAGGATTCTGCCTTTTTTCGCCTAGCTTTGGATTGGGAGGACTCAACGCACTTGGTTTTAGTACCTTGATAAATGCTGTTCTAGGAACAGCGTGTATATTGTACCACCCATTTGAAAGCGGTGGTTTCTTCTTCCAGCAGCTTCCTAAGCCATAATACGTGAGGACTGCTGCACAGGTACAGTCAAGAAGGCAAGACCTTTTGCATTCTGTCTCACTTACATTCAAGGTGGATTCATAGTCACCATAGGGAAAATCTAAAAGACGCATAGACTTTAAATCAAAACGATCCTCTCCAATAGTAGAGCCTTCCTCGTTACAGTCTCCTGGGTAGCTATAGTTATCTGGCTTGCATCCAGAGTGATTATTCTTTGCATCCAAGAAAGAAAACCCATATGGGCACTGGCAAATAACCCTTCTATCTGCTTCATGTTGACAGATACTGTTGTGCCCACAAGGCCCTCTTCCGAACGGAGGATCTAAATGGAAAAAGCTGGAGCAGATATCCTCTGGTACATACCAAAAGGATGACCAACTTTTATCTCCATTGCAGGCTTTGGAGTAAGAATACAAGGTGAAAATCCATCAAAATCTAGTGTAGCCCTGTAGTAAATATCCTGTATTGGGTTTGTATTTTCTGGTCCAATTTTGACAATACTTCCATCTGATTTCCTAATCTGGATATACCCGGATTTGTTGAAGATCAATCCAGAACCATCTGTGATGTTGAAGTAAAACTGGAAAGGTTTCCCTGTGTAGACATCTATTTGATTGAGGACTAGAGATTCGGAGGTGAAACGGAGTTGAAATTTCCCCTTCTTGTAGCTTGTTTCGGAGAAGGCTGATGAAAGAGTGCTGCTTAGGCCTAGTTCTTGTCCTGGCAATATGGTATCTGTTGGATTTTGGAAGCTCTCCCATATGTTGTCTGAATTCCTGCCTGTGATGACGAAATTTCCAGTATCCAACATGGCTGCATGGGATACTCCTCCAATGCCATCTTGGGCGCTGTTAATCCACCAAAGCTCCATGCCAGAAGGAGCTCTGAGTATGAGGCCACTGGAGTTAAGCTCAAGTCTGGATTCTATCTGTAGAGGCTTGTCTCCATTTGCAGACCAAACTATGGTTTCTTCGGGTATCTTGGCGAACCAGATAGCAAGGAGGAATCGATCTTGTTGGTCTGGAACACGGCCAAACCCAAGTTCAAAATCACCGGACGAAATCATGGAATCAGATGAATAAGAAGTGATTGTAAATCCCCAGAGAAAATTTGGGAGTTTCCTGATTTTGGGAGGTATTTAGCGAAGCTAAGCTGCCTGGTTTTCTACACGGCAATTGCTTTGACTGCTTGAGAGCCACACATGACCTGGATGGACAGAACAGGGAAAAAGTCAAGACACGTAAAAGACTGCATCTTTCTGCACCAGGAAAAATGCAGCAAGCATGCAGAAGCTACTCTGCAGCATCACCAACTACAATAGTCCGCCAAAACTTTGTCAAAATGGCCACTAAATTCAGCAAAAATAGCCACTCAAAGTATGAAAATGCCTAACTCCCAACTGCATTTTGCTTTTTATTTATTGCCTTAGTTAGGTTTTGCCTATAAATAACCATGTTCCCTTCCTTGTATGCATAAGTTTTATCAGTTTAATTAAGTTTCAATTCTTCTCTGTTTGAGTGAGTTGTTGGGAGTGAGTTTTTTTCAATTTATCTTTATATCTTTATATCTTAGATCTTATTAATTTAAGTGGTGATCTTGGCAATCGAACTTATCGTAATTGGATTCTAAATCTTGCCAAAATTGATGTTTCGGTATCGGTTCTTACGTCACTTTCGATCTTCTTAGAAATTAAACTTTAATTACATTAGCATTTCTGAATTTCATACTTAGTCCTGTTGATTGAAATTTCATTTAATTCCCTGTCTTTCCCTCTGTATTCTAGAAGCAGAAATGTTTCTCAAAGGTCGTTAATGGAAAGGAAGAAAAGCGGTTCCCTTATATATCTCTGGAGCCTTAGCTCTCTTGTGGATTCTTTAGTGCTTTCAAAGCCAGGAGCTTCACAGCTTCAGTCTTCCAATTCCAAATGTTACCTTACAAGACAGCATGATTTTATTTTATTATTATTATTAACTACAGTAATCCTCGCTCACCATCAGGTTGACATGCATCGCCTCAGTCCAAAGACAAAACTGCTCATCGGCAGCTAACTCATTCAACTCGAAGAGCCCCTCACCTTCATCGAAGAAATCTCCTAGAAGCATACCTTCAACTTTAATTGCCCTAATAGTACGTTGGAAAAAATATATATATTATAATTACCTCTATTAAAACTTGAACGGTAATATAAAACAAAATTTTTATGACACGATAACATTTTTATGGTTTAATATCCATTTCCGTTGTAAAGGACTCTTCGGAAAAAATTTTACTATACGTTGTCAGTAAGCGCGGTTGCTTTGATAAAACAGCATAATTTTATTCAAAAATAAGGACTTTTAAAAGTAAAAGATTTACTTCAATGTTCAAAGATTTCACTGCCGTAAGAAGGATAAAATTGTTTGAATATTTAAAAGACTTTCAAAACTTCTATTTTTGATGGTAAAGACTTTTCAAAACTAAAAAGCTAGGTCAAATAAATTTGTACTACCTAGCGTCTAGATTATGCAAATTTTTACTGTTAAAACTTTTTTGATAAATTTTTGAGTATCAATTTTTTAAGATTATTTTTTTACGAATTTTTATTGACTCTTTTTGCAAAAATTTTATTTAAAGAACACTCGTACAGAAATTACGAAGAAGCAAAAAAATAATAATATAATAATAATTCAAGTTACGGACATAAATTTCCATTTTAGGTATTGGCATTGGAATTTCTGTATTTAATTGCAGAAAATGGACTCTGTTGCACTGCAATTTCTACAGATGAATATACATAAATTCCCAATTCACCAACTTGTTATAACACATCATAAATGCTCTAGTGGTGTGGCTTCCTGTTCTTGGGTTCTAGTTCTGACAATCTTTTCAACCCCCACCCCCCCAATCCCCATTCTAGTTTTTACCAAGAGCTTGGGTTTTCTGTGAAAAGGTTTAATCAGTGTTCATGTTTAACAGCTTAGAAGCAGCAGTTTATGTGTAACATTGCTCAAAGATTTTCATTTTTCTCCATAAATAAAGGCCAATATCAATTTGCTTTCTTGTTGGAATTGAGAGACTATTTGTTGATTCTGGTAGAGTGTCATTACTATCAATTGAAATTTAAAAGTGCAAAGAATTATCATTTATCAAGATGAGTGATTCAATGGGAAAAGTGTTGGGGAGTCAATTGGGCCGAGAGTTCTGCAGAGTCTTCCTAAAGATATCATAATCTTCAACTTAGAAATGATCTTCAACTTAGAAATGTATTGGGCTATCATACTATCAATTAAAAGTGCATAGCATAGAAATATATATATCAGGATGAGTGATTCAAGGAGAAAAGTGTTGAAGAGTCAATCGGGCCAAGACTTCAGCGGAGTCTTTAGTCCTAAAGATATCATAATCCTCAACTTTTGTTGAGTTTTTACTCAACCACACTCACAATCCTGACGGAGAGCGCACATGTAAGATTGTACAAATACATACGGAAAAATACTATTTTGAACCTGAAAAAATTATATGAAAAATTCATGAGCCCCACGTATATATTGCACTTTTTCAATTAATTTTCCTTAATTTGATGTGGGATCTTACTTTTTCACCTCACACGTAAACATTTACTCCAACAAAGAGACCTAACCAACGGTGCCGAAATTCTCAAGCTGCAGCTAACAATTAGTGCACTTAGCAGGACCACTATTTGATGTCCTTCCCACAGAGAAAGCGGTCTTCTAATATATTTTCTTTGCCTATGGCCAGCCATGGAGGCAGAGCTGCTATCCACTTTACACAACTTGATAAGAACGATGCTACATGAAATAGGATTTACGCACGTATATAATGTATTTCCTAGGACAACTGCCTTAGCATTCTCTTTTAAAAGAAATAGAAATAAAAGCACTGTCCTTAAATAATGGTGGAGATCACTCCCATTTTCTTATTGTGTATTTTACATGGTATAATTAATTTAAACAATTTTATTTTATTATTTTAAAACAAAAAATTTTAAATAGTCAAATAAAAAAAATTAGATTTGGTTTGGTTTGGTTTGGTTTAAAATAATTAGACTTAAGTATTAATTTAAAATTGAATATGAGTAATAGATATTCCTATGACAATAAGTTAATATTTAAATTGTGTTGAATTAAATATTTTTTTATTTTTCCAATATTTCATGTGAATTGAGATTCTCACAAAGCTAAGAAAGTGGTGAAAATTCCCCACAAAACCTTATAGAAAGAAAATACTCTTTGCCTCTTCCATACTCTCGTGGTAAGGATTCTCACGAGAATTAAAGAAAATTACCATCGCTAGACACCAAGTTGGTGTATAACAATCTTCCATAGTATGCTTCAAAAAGGACATATGAAAAACAAATGCAAATGAATCTCCTCCCTATATACCCATGTTAGGTCTTTGCATTGGAAATTTTTGTGGTTAACTACAGTAAATGCACTTTGTAGCTTTGCAATTTCTATAGATGATAATAACATAAATTCTCAATGCACAAACTTATGAAAACATATGCTAAAAATTTTGATAGAGTGGCTTCTAATAGATAGGAATTTTAAATATATTAATGCAGAAAGTTTTATCTTGATATTATTAATATTTAGATTTCACATCATTTTCATTTTTATACAAAAAAAGAATTGAACTAGAGAAGAGTTCAAAACTTTTAGGACCAAATCAAAAAAATCAGAATTTTGAGATCAAAGTGTCAAATTTATAAAAGATTAGGGACTAGAATAGTTTTATCAATTAAGAACCTAAATTGCACGTTGGCCCAAAATTCCCGACACGAACTTTGTTTGACTGCATTGGTAAAGGTGTCGGCACTTCATATTGAGGTGTCGACCAATTAGGCAATTTTCGGTAACTCCGCATGGAACTTTTATTATTTTAGTGTGCATTCTATTCTATTGTCTATTTCAATTAAAATTTTGATGTTCGTATAAAATACTCATTCTAGATTAGTATTGAAAAACGTTTTTGACAACCTTTTTGGGCACTATTAAAAAAGGTTTTTGGCAGTCCTTTTGGGTACTTTTGATGACCAAATTAGAAATTATAAAAATTTATTCATATTAAAAAATTAAAGAAGTTTGCACCCTTAAATTAAGTTTTGTTTCCTATTTTGGTTTTATTTTTTGTTTTAATATGAATTCATGATTTATAAATATGATCTCAGATTTTGATATGTTTATTATAAATTAATTTAAACCAACCAATACTACGATACCTAATTAATTAATTTAATATAAATTTTCTTTTATGTTTTAATTAAAGTTATTTATATGATACATTTTATTATTCAAATTAATACTTTAAAAACTTATTCATAAGTTAATAAATTATGTGATTTATACATGAATTTGAACTTGAGATGAATGAATTAAAATAATAGCAATATAAAGTATGTGTTACAATATAAGACCAAGAGGTAATTATTGTCCTTTCCTTTTTAAGCTATAAGCTTTCACATCACTTAATACTCATGAATTTGTTTTTAATTATATAGATATATGATTAATTTGATGAGAGAAATTTAATTAGTTAATTTAGAAAAACTCATCATTGCATACATTAACACTCAATCAATTAATCTTAGAAGCATATTATTAATTTAAATTTTATATTAACTAATTATGGTAGCCTTACAACCTCACATCTTGGTTAACTTTTATTTTAATTGTTATTTTTTTTAGTTAGTTTTAATTATAAATTTTTTTAATTGTTTAAATAAATCTTAAATTAATTATTTTAAATATTTAATTAATCATAATTTTATACATTTGACACTCTATTTATTATTATATTACTTGAATAACTAGTACATTTTTAAAGTGAATTTAACATATTAATTTCCTGCATTCTGTTCTTGGATTTTAATTTATTGAATAAAAAAATCTCATATAAAAAATATAATAAAAATATATATACTTCAAATATAAAGATAACTATTTTATTTACCGTCAATTTATTTTAAATTAGACGGAACTCTCATATTAGGAATCAAGGGTAGCGAAAATGTCAAGCCATAGCCAACAATTAATGCACTCAGCAGGACCACTATTTTCCATCGTGCCCGCAGAGGACAGGGTCCACCGCCTTGCATATTGTTTTTCTAATACCTTTTATTTGCTTATGACCAGCCATTGGTGCCCTCTTCTTTGCTCTAACTAATCTGACGCAACCCAAAAATGCTTTTTATTATATG